TCTGTATCAGGTGTGAAGTCTGCACTGATCGTAGCGAAAATTGATCTAACATTAGCTGTCACGTCACCGTCGTCTATTTGAAACGCATAAGCTTTTCGATGTTGGAAGGCTACAATATGACGAAGTAGGTGGTCGACCTACCAAAAGGAGGTGTAGAGTTATCTTAGTTTCACCCTCAGAACCCAGTTGGGAAATGGTAACCTCGATGAAGCTTAGAATTGATTCAAAAATGGAGTCATTTCTTCGCCGAAAAATATGGTTGAAGTTAGGAGGAAGATAACGAAGCTTCTCAGGGCTACGGAAAAAACTCTAGCTCTCAGTGCACAAAGAAACCAGGCCGACGAATGCTGTAAACACCCTTTTGCACTCACAAAGGCACTCCTTCATTGTTTAGTTCGTGCAGAACCACGAAAGTGGCAGGAAACTAGGGTCGGAGTGGGAAATCAAGATTATCAATGAGGTAGCGAGAAAGAGTGACTTGTGAGTGTTCAAAACAATTTGACAGTTATCAGGTAAACGAGAGACGCGATGTGTCCCTGTGCAAAATGACAAGGGTGCCCATTGGTAAATAAGAAAGAGCACCTTTAAAACGGGCTGAGCATTTCCGCCTGGTGTTCGACATCTGTTCTTCAAATTCCTTTCTCAGCAGTGAATTTTCTGCGACTATCATAGGCTAGTACATCAGCATCTACAAAACTCTAAATCCAAAGAGTACACGTCAAGGAGAAGAAAAGCTGTCCTGTTGTTGGATCAAATCTACCGGAGTTAAATATACAGGGAGAGAAACTGAGTAACCCGTTCATCAATGTCAACCCTAGGGAATGGAAGCGCGGAATAATTTACTGTATATATTTCAAAAAGAAATGATTATGGCTAACTGATAAGCTGCCAAGTAGGTGCTCACGAAGTGAGGAGCGGGTTTAAAATTTATAAATGTTGTGGCTACAAACAAACAAGTCATAATTGTATTACTGATTGCGATACTGTTCCAAATTGAGTTTTTCTTCATATGTTGCTAGGCATATGGCAAAAGCAGCAGGGAAATGATTTAGTACTCGAGTTAGCAGTATATAACGTTGTGCAATAGTAAGTCGTTTTCTGTTGGTTTTTTAAAGACACTATGATCATATTTGTAACGGCCAGTTTTTCATACGCACGCCTGAAGAATGTCTAATTTGAAGACGCGTCAATAAATTTGTAATTAACTGCGTTTAATGTGATGGTACTTTGTGTTTACGAATTTTGATGTAAACCCTTCTGAATATAGGCGAAAAACCACCAATGATGCGTTATCAAAATTCATCGATGCGTAGGAATGCCAGCAGCGACAACCGGACCGGAAGACAATTACTGAAATACCAGTTAGTCAAATATTGACAAGCAAGTGCCCAGATTGTGTTGATTTTGACAATGGTAGTGTAGCAATGAAACACTTAATCACAGAGCACGGTTGATGCTTTCAACCGGTACAAAATGCAACGTTCGGTTTAAAGTGATGACGACAGCAGCAGATGCCATAGCAAAAAAGCTTCGAAGTTGCGTTTGGGATTTTGGGACATGACGCATCTGTTTGAATCGGACCGGAAACGAAAATTCCACTAGGTGGGGTAACAACCTCCACCACGTGGTAGAGTTGTTGATTGCGTAGATAAGGTAAATACAGCGCTTCGCATACGACGAGAAGCGAAGCGATGAACTGATGGACGGTGTTTGACGATTC